TACTTGTCTCTGTACCAACTGGCCTAACGAAGGCGAGAAACACACACACCTGCAAAACCCTCTCCTGCAAAAATTCACGGGTCCGACTCTGAGAATGCGTCATTTAGTGTGCTATGAAGGAAATTTCATCCCGCTTACTTCGTCGAATTCCTGCTGTCAAGAGAGAGTTCTTTGCGGGTGGGGTGGGTGGGTGTTAGATGGCCGAATGGTTAGTGTGTGCGTGCTGTATCATACGGTCTGTCATTTGAGACAACTGGCGTGGTTTCGATTCCCCGGTTGTACGTGACAAGGAGTAGGGTCGCCTGTCCAACCGCGTGGGGTTTCTCCGGGTCCACCGGTTCCCTCCCACTGCTAACTAAAGACCCCTACGCGCAAGCGAATTATTGAAATAAAATCAAACCATATGTTAATCTCGAAATGACCGAGTGGACGTTAAACCCAAACTCTCTCTCTCTCTCTCTCTCTCTCTCTCTCTCTCAACCATGGAGCCCAGCTGGGAAAGAACAGTAGGACGTTAATCCCAATTTGTTTGTTTATTTTCTAAATTAATAACATTATTTCTACTTTACATTTTTCCTTTCTTATTTTTTAAATTTTTTACCGTGTTATTACATACCGACTGTAACATAGGGGAGATTTATATAAAATATTTATGATTTGTTTGTTAATGACCACTATATAACTCATAGCAACACATAGCAACGTTATCATTATATACCATTTTATATCATTTTAAACTATTAATATATACGCCTATCTATATACAATATATTCTGTACCGTTAGGGCCCTGGGGATATAAATAAAGGGAGTACGACGAGTATATCCCCGTCTGTCGTGGCCCTTGGAGTATATATACTTTTATCTATAACAGTATATACTGTACCGTTAGGGCCCTGGGGTTATAAATAAAGGGAGTACGAAGAGTATATCCCCTTCTGTCGTGGCCCTTGGAGTATATATAGTGTCGTGCAGAGAGTACCCGTTTACATACCCCCCCCCCCTCCACCAAATCCCCTGAACTGACCATTGGTGAATGGAGTAGTTGATACTGTATAGGGTATATACAGACCCGTAGCCAGCGGGGTGGGGAGTGGGGTAACGGGGCAGCCCAACCAATGTCACTCGGCTTTATGGTGCGCCCCCTTGCCCCCCGCTAGCTACGCGCCCGATATGTATCCTCCCCAATTAGTGCCCTGGGACTAGAAATAAAAAGAGAACCCATAAATCATCTCCAGATTTGTCCCTTGGGTATATGACAAATTGTTACTTTTAAAGTATTAAAATAATAAAAACTTTATTTAATGAGGCAACTTATTTAGTTTATTTAGTTTGCAAAAAAACTAATCTTCCATAAGCCCCTCCTAAGCTACAAAGACATATATACATGTAATATCGAGATAAATTCAAAATCATTTGAAATGCAATAACATTTTAAAGTGAGAAGTTTGGGTTAGTAATTAGTCATTCCTAAACTACAAAACATACGTAAAATATAGGAAGAACACTAAAAGTACACACAAAATAAGATAGAATGAGAGAGAGAGAGAGAGAGAGAGAGAGAGAGAGCGAGAGAGAGAAATGGGGTTTAACGTCCACTCGACACAAACTAGGTCATTTCGGGACTAACGTATGGTTCAATTTTATTTCCATAATTCGCTTGCGCGTAGGGGTCTTTAGCAGTGGGAGGAAACCGGAGGACCCGGAGAAAACCCACGAGAGTGGACAGGCGACCCTACTCCTTGTCACGTACAACCGGGGAATCGAAACCACGCCAGTTGACTCAATGACAGACCTTATGATACAGCACGCACGGTCTAACCATTCAGCCATCCAACTCCCCCAAGATAGAATGCAGTTGCAAGTTAAATATACAGGAAAAATAATAGGCATGTCATCAGTTATATATTATGGTTTCTTTAGTGCTCAATATAAATGAGTTTTCAGTTTTATCTTAACATCTCATATCATGCATAATGCTAATTGAAATGTTCATATGTATTTTTTGCTTAAAATAAAATATCCAACCATTTATAACAACAGCTAGGCAAATCGGCCCCGTTTGTCGCGACGCCGGAGCGCCATCACGTAGTGATCTCTAAAACTATTATGGTCACTTCCGCCTTCATTTCTATCGGGTTTGGAGCTCAAAGTACGGCAATAAACTCGCTCTAACTTGACTGAATGAAAAATCTAACATACCTTTCGACTTTGTGAAATAACAATCTATAATTCTACTGATCTTTTTTTTGAAAATCTTATCGGATTCCTGAGAACAGATGTAGGCCTATTTTCTTCATGATCACCATCAAAACATTGAAGAATCCATTATGTCGTAAATTTTATGTTAATCAGATTGCCATTACTTAGATTTTCCTTTTTCTCACTGTTTTATTGTTGATTTGGGATGATACGAATATTTAGTATATATTAAAGACGTCTCTATTCATTTGACCTCATTTGACGTTTAAACCTATATAATGTACATGAATTTTAGGTACTATTTTTTTTTGCGGATGAATACAGCTGTTCTGTATTGTATTCGGTTGTAGACTGTGAAAATTTTAAATCACATGGATCCATTAAACCTTCTAACTGTTTAATTCCATTTTTTTCATTGAAGATTCTTATATTACAAATCTTTCCTTACGCTAGAAACGTAATCACTGGATAACTTTGACAGCTACTTCAATCATATGTTGAAAGGTTTATAGGAGAGAGGAGCTCCCGTTCGATTTCTACTTGAGAGAGAGAAATGGAGTTTAACGTCCACTCAACACAATCTAGGTTGCAATTCTATTTAAATAAATCGCTTGCGCGTGGAGGTCTTTAACAGTAGGAGGACCCGGAGAAAACTCACGAGCTTGTACAATCGACCATACCCCGTGTAACAAACAAATGTAGGATCGAAACTACGCCACTTAACTCAATGGCAGATCTTATGATATAATGTGCACACGTTAGATTCGAGCGCACAATCCTTGGGTTCTTTGGTGACAACTATCACAACATTTGAAATGAAATGGGGTTTAGCGTCCTTCTGTTCTGCTCTCGCTGGGCTAATGAAGACAGACATACGCCATACAGTGTGCTAAGAGAGAAATTCCAACTGCCAAGGGATCTTTTACTTGCACGCCAATGTATACACGGAACCTCGGATTTCCATCCGATCCGAACGACTAGACAGCTGTCCTTGGGAGGCCCTCTGTCCTGCAAGGGGAAACCACGTCGGAAAAAATCCCGATGAACTTACCCACTTAGCCACCGTGGCTCCCACAACATTTGAAATGAAATGAAATAAAATGGGGTTTAACGTCCTACAGTTCATCACCGGTTGGACTATAATAACAACGGGCATAGTCGGCTATGGGGGGAATTTTTTTTCCTGTACAGCGACACAGCCGGCTTCTCTTATTTCGAATTGCAGATATAAATGGTTCGTTTAGCTGCACACCAATGTGTAAACGGAACCTCGGTTTTCTGTGCCATCCGAATGAAAATAAGTTGTCCTGCACCACTGACAAGGAGGAACCACGCCGGAAAAACCGATGAACACGAGACCTCGAGGTTAGCGAGCCAACCTCTTACTCATTGAGCCATCATCACAATATTTACCCTGAAGTCTAAAATTAGCGTCGGTCGATATTTAAACATATATATTTTGGTCTGGGGCTAAAATAACGGGGATAAATACGTAAACATAGATGTTGAGAACGGGTCAATGGCCTGACCCAAACAATAATCCTTTGATCGTAGGTGATCTTTCCCCACAACTTCCGTAACCCATCTTGATCCAAGAACCAACAAACCGTCCCTGAGGTGTGCGTAGTGAGGATCAATAAATCGAACAGGATTAATGTAACTTAGATCTACCAGGATGGGATGGAAAAAGATTTGAAGCCTCGCCAACCCACGAACGGCGTTATTTCTGCCCATTTTTGGTCCGAATGTCAACTGCCAAGGGATCATTTTGAATAATGCTACGCCAAACGACTATACCTATTTCCGGTGTCCACTGAACAGGAGTTACCGGTGTGAATCGGGTTTGACAAATACCGGATGGTATTCTTGGACCCCGCCATGATTTTAACCCGATAAAGTTTAGCTGAGGAGGGCGTGCACGTAAAAGATCCCTTAACACTCGGGAATCGAATCAGCCTGTCCGGACAAAATTCTCCTCACGCGCATTTCACACGTAACGATAGAAACATAATATATCAGCACGTGCTAATTTCTAAATGACCGAAGTACATTTGTTGACGAGGCGTTAAACACATTCCAATGTGCACAGATAACTGTAAGTTTTATGGTGGCAATAAAAGATATAGACAAGTTATCCAGTGGCCATTATCGCCAGATCACTGCGTGCCAAATGGATTTGTCTTCTGCCGTTCAAGTACAAACTATATAGTCAAGACTCAAGTACCTAACCAGGGCCTGTGGTCAACTCAAGTAAACTTAAATGTAGTTATCTTTTGAACGATCGGTCAAGGGCGGACTTCATCCTTGAGAGAGGGTTCCTAGAGGAACTGATTTAAATGTTGCCACAGTATGTAAGAAGTGGGGGGGGGGGAGGGGACGGTGGTGGATGGGCGAATGGTTAGCACGTGCGCGTTGTATCATAAAGTCTGTCATTGAGTCAACCGGTTGTACGTGACAAGGAGTAGGGTAGCCTGTCCAACCTCGTGTGTTTTCTCCGGGTCCTCCGGTTTTCTCCCACTGCTAAAAGAACCCTACGCGCAAGCGAATTATTGAAATAAAATTGTTAGTCCCGAAATGACTTCGTTCGAGTCGAGTATACATTAAACCTCATCTCTCTCTCTCTCTCTCTCTGTTTAAGAAGTGTCGACGAAGTTCCTTTAAACACAGCAGACGATAATCTTCGGCTGGCGATAGTTGGCTGGAGCTCCAATGCGCTGTGAGGATCTCGAGCAAACATTTGCTGTGGAGCTTTGAGTGTCGATTTCGACATGATTTACAATTCATTCTCGTACAGAATTCGATAGTGACACACCTAGACAGGACCAGGTGATACAAACATTTCGGATTGTTAATTAACTCCCAGTAATATTGGAAAATAAAATACTTTTACAAGGTAAGACGGAGATATTTTAATTCATGAATTAGAATATTATTTTAAATCTCTATTGACACTCAATGCATTGGTACATTTTATGTAAGGAAAAGCTGCTGTCCGATCAGAATTACGAACATTGCATGCTGCCGGCGTATGTCCGCTTAGGCGTAGCAACCCCCTGATTCGGTAAACCGTCCATTTTTCGGGCAATGTATATTAGTTTTTTGGACACAAACATCAGAGAATGGGGAACATTGAGTTGTTTTTTGCTTATCATTTTGCAACTTTATATTGTTGTGTAATTGTGTAATTAATTAAAAGTAAACAACTTTGTAAAAAATTCCTTTTAGTTAACGATTGATTCATTCTGAAAATGAAATCCCTATGTATGTCCCTTTGACCCTTTAATGTAGAAACTAGGACGTTAAATCCCGTTTTATTTACAGATTTTATTTATTTCACCATTTCCGAAATTTTGGGTAGCACAATATTTTATTGAATGAGTTCACAGAATTAACCGAAATGTTGGTTTGCAAAATATTTTATTGAATAATTTCACAGAATTAACCTGATTTAACACCGACATGTAAACTTTCCAAAATTAAATTTGACCGGCTTATCTACAAATATTACTTAGTTTTTGTAACAATGGTGTATCTTTATATCTTTATATTTGTGTTACAAAACGAATCCCCCCTCGACCCCCATGGTAGCTTCCAACCCAGAATCGTCCATACCTGAAAACTGTCTGAAGGAATTTGTTAATAATTGGACTGTCTACGTCGTTTTATGAAGGAATTTGTTTTATAGTTGAACTATCTAGGTCGTTCAAAGTATGTTTTATGAAGGAATTTGTTAATAATTGAACTATCTAAGTCGTTCAAAGTATGTTTTATGAAGAAATTTGTTAATAATTGAATTATCTAAGTCGTTCAAAGTATTTTTTAAAGGAATTTGTTAATAATTGAACTGTCTAGATCGGTCAAAGTATTTTTTAAAGGAATTTGTTAATAGTTGAACTGTCTCGGTCGTTCAAAGTATGTTTTTTTTATAGGAATAGTTCGAGAAAATGTATTTTAATGAAGAAATTTGTTAATGTTTGAACTATTTGGGTCGTTCAAAGTATTTTAATGAAGAATTTCGTTAATAATTGTACCGTCTAGATCGGAAAAATGTATCTTTTGAATTTGTCGCATATTGAAGGCTACCTGTCCGCTCTAGTTTCCTCGTCATATCTGGACAAATTTCGGGAACATATTATTGGCAGAACTATTATTAAAGGGGCATTATGGGGATTAGATAAAGAACTCGCTATAATAGTTAAAACATAGATAATGTAAAGGGGATTTTATTAAAGGGGATTTTCTGAAAATATCGGCCAAATTGCTCCACTCTGAACCGAGATATTAGCGATTGAATTTTAGGTCTAGTCTTGATCGTCATTACTAAAGTCGGTACGATAAAAAACAAAGTCTCGATTATCCATTTTTGGATTTTATCATCAATGAGCGTTGAGCAGCAAATCGGATTCAAATCCAGTGCAAATCCGACACTTAAAATGACATCGAGATTTGATTAAGGTCTTTTCATGTTAATAAATGTCTAATTAATAGTTTATATAACATTTCAGGTCTACAGAAAGGCCTATAATAGGCAGATTTAGCTCTTGCATAATGTATGTTTAATTATTATATATGTATAATTATTTTCATACCTGTTTACTCTAATTACAGGTTATCAGGAATATCTGAAATAAAATCAATAGAATTATAATAGATCGATTAGTTAATATCTGAAATAAATCAATATATACAAATATAGTTTACTAACATCAACATTCCAATATGGCGTCAGGTTTTGTTTTTGATCTAACCTTCAAAAAGTTTTCAATTTAGTATTCAGATTTACGTCACATCTAGGCCTATCAACAATTATTTCTCTATTATTTTCTTTTAAATTAAAATATGTGGAGATTTATGTATAGGGAAAATAAAGATAAAATTTATGTCCGAGAGAGAGAGAGAGAGAGAGAGAGAGAGAGAGAGAGAGAGAGAGATGGGTTTAACGTCCACTGGGTCATTTCGGGACTAACATGGTTCAATTTTATTTCAATAATGCCTGAGGTTGGACAGGCGACCCTACTCCTTAAAACGTACAACCAGGGAATCGCAACCACGCCCGTTGACTTAGTGACATACCGTATGATACAGCGCGTACGTTCTAACCCCCCGCCCCCATGTCCAATATAACAATTTATAGAGTATATTGTGTTTATATTGTGTTGGTGACCAACTCTCGTTTTAATTTTGGGCACGGTAGATTGGCGAGTAAATGGGACTAAGTGTCCACTTGATATTAATAGGACATTTCTCGAACGATATAGTGAATCTGTATTTTATTCATTTTCATGTGTGCAAGACTTTTTCAGGTTGTCTGCAATATCACTTCGGTGGAAGCGGACGTTAAATAAAGCTAGTTCACACACTCTTTCAGTAAGAGGGGGCCACGGTGGCTAAGTAGGTAAGATACTGACTCATAGTACACTGTATGGCGTATGTCCGTCTACATTAGTCTAGTATATGAGCAAAACAGTAGGACGTTAAACTTTATTTCAATTCATTTCACATTTCTTTTAGTAAGAGAAAATCGGAACACCGGGCAAAAACATCCATGCGGTTATCACAACGAAAGTAGTCCCCCGCAATATAGAGATCGAATTCATCGATTTTATAGACGACATAAATGCGATCGTCAGTGTTCGGCTGGCCAACCACGCCCCCAGGTTGATATGAATATAGATATTGTTTCAGTCTACATTAGCCTAGTATATGAGCAAAACAGTAGGACGTTAAACTTTATTTCAATTCATTTCACATTTCTTTTAGTAAGAGAAAATCGGAACACCGGGCAAAAACATCCATGCGGTTATCACAACGAAAGTAGTCCCCCGCAATATAGAGATCGAATTCATCGATTTTATAGACTACATAAATGCGATCGTCAGTGTTCGGCTGGCCAACCACGCCCCCAGGTTGATATGAATATAGATATTGTTTCAGTCTATCCGTGTAATTAAGTTTGTACTGATCGCTTCCATGTTTATACCGTAAATACCTGCAAATCTTCGAGCAATTGTATTAATTATCACATCCATTCGCCTCCAGCGGAGTTCCAGAATTTGTTGTATGTGGAAGGGCACAGACAATGAAGCAAGGCTTATTAGTGTTATTTTCAATTTTTAACACGATTGGATATTTAGTGTGTGGTGGTGGGGTGAGGTACAGAAACCTATGATACACACAGAATAATCAAATATTAATAATAATGTAAACATACATTATGCAGGAGCTAAATCTGCCTATTGCAGGTCTTTCTTTAGGTCTGAAATGTTATATAAACTATTAATTAGACATTTATTTACTTATCCAGACCATAATCAACCCTGGATATCATCGCTAGCCTGCGATATTTACTGTTTAGGTAGCTAAGTCTTTAACTCAATATCATCCAAAGTCTTCGACATTGAAAACACAAATTTAGAAATATATACCGTGGCGTTTAAAAACACATATCGTGATGTTTAGAAACACATACAGGTAGAAACACATACCTTGACGTTTAGAAACATATGTAGTTAACAAAGGCTTCAGCCTGTCAAGCCTAAAAGAAGCCTTGCACTGGTTTGAATATATACAGGTAGAAACGCATACGGGAGTCACGGTGGCTAAATGGGTAAGGCGTTGGCTTGCTAGCCTGGAGGTCGCGTGTTCGATTCCTGCATTGTTCGAGAAAGTTCATCGGGACTTCCCAAAGTGGTTTCCCTTTGTACAGGACAAGGACAGCTCTCTATTCGTCTATATTAGCCCAGTCAGAGCAGAACAGTAGGACGTTAAATCCCATTTCATTTCATGTCAGAAACCCATACAGATGCAGTTGATAATATGAGCTTAAATACATTAGTAGGATATTCATACTATATTTATATTTTAATTGTAATATTATCTTGATGTTGTGATCTTACCAGGAAAAGATGGGGTTCTCATATCCAATATTTAAGACAAAATAAACATTTTACCATTGGTACACGAATCGTTTACCATAATGGGTTTCGGCACCATTTGTAACAGGGGACTCGAAAAACGAGGCTAGACATATTCCACAAGTCATGACAAACGGTGAAGCCGTATTCTTATCTGGAGAGCGTGCGTAATAGATACTTTCTGTGTAAACTGGATTAACCAGACGCTAGAGATTGCCTTTCGATTGAGACTTCTGGCCGTATTTCGCCGAATATAACTGATTTGAAATTAGAGTAAAAACGGAAACTATTGAATGGCGTATGTCCGTCTACATTAGTCTAGTATATGAGCAAAACAGTAGGACGTTAAACTTTATTTCAATTCATTTCACATTTCTTTTAGTAAGAGAAATCGGAACACCGGGCAAAAACATCCATGCGGTTATCACAACGAAAGTAGTCCCCCGCAATATAGAGATCGAATTCATCGATTTTATAGACTACATAAATGCGATCGTCAGTGTTCGGCTGGCCAACCACGCCCCCAGGTTGATATGAATATAGATATTGTTTCAGTCTATCCGTGTAATTAAGTTTGTACTGATCGCTTCCATGTTTATACCGTAAATACCTGCAAATCTTCGAGCAATTGTATTAATTATCACATCCATTCGCCTCCAGCGGAGTTCCAGAATTTGTTGTATGTGGAAGGGCACAGACAATGAAGCAAGGCTTATTAGTGTTATTTTCAATTTTTAACACGATTGGATATTTAGTGTGTGGTGGTGGGGTGAGGTACAGAAACCTATGATACACACAGAATAATCAAATATTAATAATAATGTAAACATACATTATGCAGGAGCTAAATCTGCCTATTGCAGGTCTTTCTTTAGGTCTGAAATGTTATATAAACTATTAATTAGACATTTATTTACTTATCCAGACCATAATCAACCCTGGATATCATCGCTAGCCTGCGATATTTACTGTTTAGGTA